CCCGCAGCCCCCCACCCCGCCCCCCAACCTCTACCCGCAGTCCCCCACTGCCCGCCAACCCGCAGCCCTCACCCCATCCCCAAACCACTACCCACAGCCCCCCACCTCTGCCCGCCAACCTGCAGCCCCCACTGTCCCCCAACCCCTACCCACATCCCCCAATCCCGCCCCGCAGCCCCCCACCCCGTCCCCCAACCTCTACCCGCAGTCCCCCGCTCCCCAATCCCGCCCCACAGCCCACCAACCTGCAGCCCCCACTCCATCCCCCAACCACTACCCGCAGCCCCGTGCTGCCCAACCCCGTCACACAGTTCCCCATCCCCAATCCCAACCCACAGCCCCTCGCCCCAACCCGCAGCCCCTCGCCCCCCAATCCCGCCCCACAGCCCCACCCTCCAATCCTGACCCACAGCCCCCCTGCCCCTGCAGCCCCAGACTCCTCCCCCACACCCAACCAGCTCTGTTGATGCCTCCCAACCTGCAGGGCCCAACCCAATTTTTTCCATCCTGGGCCCATCTTGATGTGGGGGGGGGGGAGGGGGCGCCCTCTGGGCAGGTCAGTCATGGAGCTGCTGGGCCTGGGAAGGAGGCAGCGTTGAATGGCACACATCCCCCCGCCCACCCCCAGCCCAGCATCGCGACTGGTACCTCAGCATGAAGTCATGGAGGCGGAGGCTCTCCCGCTGCAGGATGGGCATTAGATAGTTCAGGATGTGCTTGGTGCTGTCCATTGTGGGGTCCATGAAGTCCCTGCGGAAGGGGAGAGTTAGAGGAGGGCATCTCCAGCGAGTCACAAGGAGCACAGACGGGCGTGATCACTGCGCTCTCACCCAGTGCATGCTGGGGCTGGGAGCCCCCCACCCCCCCACGCTGTATTACAGGCCGGGTGGATAACAGTCAATGATTTAAAAAAAAAAAAAAAAAATTGGATTTTTTTTATTTAAAATCGGATTTTTTTGATAAAGATAGTTTTAATTAAGATACATGATAGCTCAAAGATCTCTCATCATGGAATCAGGTTTCAGAGAGGTATCCGTGTATAGGGATTATAAATTCTAATTCTATAGCATGAGACAATATATTAATGTAATGTTTAAGAAAATGTTTGTAATTAAATTCCAATAGTTCATGGATTAGGGACCCAATTTTATAGGGTTCCA